TGTATATGCGTGCATAAATTTCGATCGTGTTTGACTATTTACGTACATGTTACCAATTGCCTGCCACAATATGTTATAAAGCCATCTTGCAGATTCGAAGGCAACGTTCCCTATCCAATACAAAACATGTCTATGTAGGAATGCTTTCAATTCACAGGAGGTGATGTTTCGATGTAGTTTAATTCTGCAAGTCATATGGAAAAGTCTTACCAATTGTGTTCACACTTGAATATGGACATATACACATCCGCCGCTTCACCTACTTGTTCATACTTATCACGCGTCTGTGCCACGTTTTCCATGTACACTAGTATGCACCCTCACTCACACCCACACTCACATTCACGCTCGGGATCACCTTTGAATGAACACACACGTACATAGACACACACCAGGTTTTCTATCTTACATTGTAGTCTGTATCTTAACCCTTCGATGGTCTTTACACACAAACAGCCGAAGAAGATTCCGACGAGGAGGATGATCCCAGAAGAAATATAATCGAATCAGGTGGTGTTGAAGCCGTTGGCGCCGGGCTGCACAAGGTAGCGGAGTCTTTGCGTTGCTTGTACGCGATCGTATAGATAGGGATGTCCATATACTTGGGCGTATGTGGTATAGATATGGATGCCCATATACTTGTGCGTATGTGCATGTGTGCCTTTTTTGTGTAAATTATTCTGGAGAACGAGCGGATATTGACGGGATGAAAAGGTTTATGTATAGATTTTCCACCTTGTCATGTACTTCCATTGTGTGCTGTTTGTATTTCCACATGTGAGGTCCTATTCTGCTGTCACACAAAGTACACAAACCCGCATGTTAGCGACAGTCACCCCTCAGTGGGCAGTCGACGACATTCCTACGCACCCATCTAATTGCCTGACAAATGGTATTTCGAGTGTTACAAATACCATTTTTTTCTGATGTAGTTGACTGCGTGGTCGTTACTTGCAGGTGGTGGCTCCGAATATGATCTTCGAACACACAATGATTGCGTTCATCTCGGCAGACGCCATTCTGATGCCACTAGAAGCAACGGAGAAGAACACGGTTAAGCATCGTCTGCTACGTGTATGTCTATCCGCGGTTGCGTACATCAAGTGCCTGCACGTGTTCAAAAGTACTCTTCTCGTTGAGATGTAAGGCGCAAGCGTGTGCCGACCATCTACGAGAATCCGTAGAGTCAAGTAGAGATCAACACCCACCCTAATTTGTTCGGACTATATCAGCATCGACTTTTTTCGGTACACAAAGTACACTCTAAATATGTTATCGCTACGGAGGTTCGTCTCGGGATAGTTATCGGGACGGTTTCCAAGTACGCTTCACCCCACATCAACAATGCAGCTAGCTAGTCGACTCGTCGCACAGACTCAATTCTCTAAAAGTGGCAGACGTACTACCCATGGCATAGAGTTCTCTAACATGTTTCTACGAACACCGCGTGTACACAGATGGCTACTCATGATATGCGTGCCAGGCCTACCATCACGGCCGAGAAGAGGGCGTCTGTTGCCGGACGCAAGTCACTTGCTCGCTCCCGCACGCAGATGGGCTACGCAGCACGCGCCAGTGAGCCGTTCTTCCCTGGCGGTATGTAGACTTGTGATCTAGATGCTCTATGTGATCTAGATGCTGTATTTTGTGCATTGTTAGGGTATGTGATGGATTTATGTTAAGTAGATGCACCTTGACGGAGGCGTACATATGCATATGCATGCCTATCTGTTCATCTAGACTGTTTGTACGTGTGTGGCCGGGTTGCGTCTCGGTTGAAGTTGCCTGCCGATGTGCCTATTAGTGGATACAGCATTCGGTCTGTCACACCTTGGCTCCGGGCGAAATTAAATTATTCGTACACTGGGCGGCCTATCTGCTGATCTATTGTCGGTCAGCCGTCCCAGGTAGGCTGTACTGAGTGTCTGCAGCTCCTTTTGTGGTCCTGTGTCTGCAAAGCGCGCGGGGTTTACTATGATACGATGAATGGGTTTGCATGGCTAGACAATGGTGCGTCCGTTCCGTGTCTTGGCGTCTTCCCTGATATGGGAAACGTCTTTCTCCTGCACTCTTATGTATATACTGTCCGTTAGCTTGCGGATTGTTTCGGGTGTAGCTCGCGGTCTTTTCGCCGCTATATACCAGTATGATCACCGTATATTCATACATACGGTTGGATACACACGGCTCATTTCGTACCAGCTTATGTCGCCTACATTCTATCCACACACACAGGTGGAGGCCAATCGAGCGCTGAACTCCGACCAAGACATTCTGTAGCTACAGGCTCCAGACCGAGCATGCATGCACGCGCGTCTATGAATAGCACGCGAGAGTCGGCGTCTAAAACACCGGGTGGCGGGCCATCGCTAGTGCGCATGCGATCACAGAGCTCGGGGGCACATGGAAAGGGAAAGAAACGGAATCAACTGGGGCCTCGAACGTCGCTGTCAACGTATGTGACTTTTCATAGTAAGCATATATGGTTGGAGAATGTTTAAGAACGTCGCTGTCAAAGTATGTGACTTTTCATTGCAAGCATAGATGGTAGGCGGGTGTTTAAGCAGAGAGATAAAGGTGAAGGGGCTGACCCATCATGAGCATGCAGGCTACCCATTGATCGTGATCTGCAAGCAATCAGGTCCGCGCACACCTTTAGCTTAGTGTTTATGGCAGTATACTTCGAGTGATGTATGGAAGTTGGAGTATTTCTTGTATTGGGTTTGGACTGTAGCAGATGTGCTATGCTTAGCTACGTGAAGCATTTACATAGTCCGTCTACAAGAGTTGGAGAATATCGGTATTATCTTCTTTTAGGCTGGAATGCAGTGATATCGTATTCGAATCACTTGCGAAATACATAATTTGTTTATATCTTTAGCGTGTACAGCCACAATCGTCGATGTCAAATGTGAAACGCAAGCCGCATTGTCATACGTTCTCGGCCGAATGCGATACAGATAGATAGCTGTACATTCTGAATGCGATACAGATAGATAGTGGGCATAAGCTGCGTACTAATGAGATCTTCTCGTTCATTGCCCAACATTCCGCAGTCCCAACGGGCCCAATGTGGTGCGAAGGCAGGTCACATTCACACCCGAAACGGCGGAAGATAAAACCAACGCAAAGAGTCCGGATGAGTAGTCGTGTGTCTGTACTACCGACTGGGGTGGATATGATCTACGAGCTACTTGTGACTACCCGAGAATGTGACGCGTGGGCCGGGTAATATAAGGACGATCTTAGGTTGTTTTGCGTTCACCAGTTCCGATCCTGCCATGCCACGTTCGGAGCTGTAGTCCATCATAGCGCGTACGAGAACTTTTATGCGAGATTGCACTGACCATTTGCATGTATCTAATTGGTATACAAATGTATGTCTCCTATGCAAGTTTGCACTCACATATCTGATTGAATCTCTGTGAGATCCAGATATGAAACAGAAAAGTAATAGTCCAGTGCGACACATCATTAAGAAACAGGCCTACGCTATCGCAATTGAAAATCCCATCAAAGTGCAAACAACAGACATTGCAATTTAATCTGCATTTTTTATTGTAAAATTATAGTCGAATAGACGGCGCAAAGAACCCACAAAAGCAGGCACAAGTCACGGATGAACATGTGAAGTTTTTTTTGACAATCATGGCGCCATCGCTCGTGACACAGTACAGTTTGACCCTAATAGCTGGGCAACGTTCCACGACAAGGATACTTATTGCTTCTGAACGCTGTCCATTTTATGTACTAGCAAGCTAAATTCACGGAACGCTGCTAAGGTACTCAAATAGAGCTGATTGTATTATCATGGCAATTGTCCAACAAAGTTGGTTTTGCTTCGGAAGATCCATTTATTTTAACTACTCGAGCACGAATAGTACTATGGTTTAAGCATTCATCTCTCCTTAGGCTCGGCATTTCTTCTTTTAAGCTTTTAGCATTGGCTAAAACTATGTAGATAATTATTGTCATTCCATGTGTATTAGTTTAGTACCTATATTGGCATCAGGGAATCGCGAATTCTGTGGGTAACTGAAACAAATATAAGCCACAATTTTTGGCAGCATGTAGACCAGGTACAGGTTTGATGGGTGATTCATATCTACACCCTACCGCGCCCAAAGCTATCTACACACAAGGGTGCGTTAAAACCGTGTACACAGGAGTTACTATAGCTCGCCAACTGGGACAGTTTGGTTAGCAACTCTGTGATTCTACCGATATCGATTAGGAGCGCGTCTCTCAGTATAGACGCATGCGACCGAACTGCGATTCCAATACATGATTGCACCCAATGACGGAAGTCTCTGCTCGAAATAACGAAAACGCTGTATCTAGTCAACGCCAACGGTAGATATATGATACAAACAATCCCATTTGGCACAGTCTCGCTGATGACGCAGTTCCAGACACCAGGAGATGTTCATTGCACAAATTACGTGTTCCGATAGCATTATTCCGCACCACAGGCATGCACCTGGGAGACAATGGCTGGCTTGAGTGTTTTTAGTATATGAAGTATAGATAGAAGGATATCTCGCTTTTATACTGCTATCGCCGACTGTCATCGGTCTAGAAATTAAAAGTATGGATCCATCATGCAGGATACAAAGTATCAACCACAACTCCGGGGTCCGAACCATCTATACTAGAATATGTATGTAATGTTACTATGTAATGAGCTGTCACAAGTATAAACTGCCAAGCAAGTAATATGACCTGTGTACATGATCTATGTGAATAAAAAGGCGGACCTCAGCATACAGTGACGGCGTGTCGGGCTGTCGGCTACGCCTACCACAGTCCACACTGCTGTCTGCCCGCCACTGCCAGCTACTACCCTGGAGGTGAGACTTCATCGCTTCGGACTTCAGTCTTAATAATAAGTCTTCAGTCTTCAAGCTTCAGACTTGTGAGAGTCTGAGGCTCTTATTAGCCTCATTGAGGTTTCACTGTTTGTGTTTCAGTCTTTCAGAAGATCTGAGGGCCTGGCCCTGAGCCCTGCGGCCACCGGCCATAGCCTCCGGCCGACCGGCCCATAGGCCATAGGACATAGGCCCATATCTCAATCTTTTATCTCATATGTAGAGGAGAGCTCAACACGGTACGATATGTTCACATAAGGACAACGTAAAGACGAATATTTATAAAGGATAAACGTTATAATGTTTTGGGGGTCAAATATAGTGAAATTTTAAAAATTGCACCTGCCATGTGCACCTATTTCAAACGAAACGGACCATTTAGCTTAAATTCACTGTCACTGCTGGTGGCTATTTCTGGCGCCAAAATTTAAGAACACAATCGGATCATGGTATGACCTCATGAATGTACCCAGTTATATGGGAGATAGACTATATGGTAAATAAAAGTTTAACGTAAATCGATATTTATGTTATTATTAACTGCTGGTGGCTATTTCTGGCGCCAAAATTTAAGAACACAATCGGATCATGGTATGACCTCATGAATGTACCTAGTTATATGGGAGATAGACTATATGGTAAATAAAAGTTTAACGTAAATCGATATTTATGTTATTATTATAAACGTTATATCGGATAACGTTTTTAGCATAGATGTAGAGTCATATGATATCTAAATAGTACATATCTATATTCTATCAACCTCACTGACCTCACTCCGAGTCCTCAACTCCTCATTCACTCCTCTCAGGACCCTATGTATGCACTTAAATGCAGGCTATCCTAACTTCCTAAGGCTCGGGTAACCAGCCAGTCCCAGTCTCCCAGAGTCCCAGGGGCCTGACTCCTGAGGGCTGGGGAGGACTGAGCGCCTGTTCAACATATATCACCAGTCTCTTTTTAACTCGGATACTATCCGGATTTCAAATTTTTGGCCCAAAAACAAAAAAGTGGAATCCGGATGCTATCCGAGTTACAAGGGGTATATTATAAACCAACCGATTGCTATATTAATAAATAGAATATCCAAGAAACAAACGAACGCTATTTGTAGAGAATAGAAAACTGACTATAGGCCCTGAAGACAATTTTTCGATGGCATGAATACTTTTTGTTTTATGTCCGTAGTAAACGTAGACTATGTTGTATCATGATTAGTGCTATTTACATACACAAATACACACCAGCATGAGTGATAGGGGACGCGAAATAAAATAAATAAAAATCTCAAACTCAGATTGGATACATATTAAACATTTCAACCCCATTTCTGATGGATAATTTCCTAAAATTAATTTTAAGTTGTATCCCTGACCTGAAATAAAATCAGATTCCAAAATTAGAACCAATGAATTTACAGATATACGAATTTGATTTGGTATTTTCATAAGTCAGATACTATCCGACTTATAGGTGCTAATTAAAATTTGTACTGAGTTTGGCTTACTTTCAAAATTTATAAAGTTAGTATGATTTGTACTGAAAATTACGTAAGTCGGATACTATCCGAGATAGCAAAAGGGACTGGTGATATTTGACGAAAAATTTACACGCCCTCTCGATTTTAGCCTTTTTAGGGTCTCGTCGTCAGTGGAAACATGACCCTCTCAGTCTCAGAGAGGAGAGAGAGATGAAAAATATAAATACCACAACAGTCAACAGACTAAAAAGTCACCCAAATCCTGATTCCTGAAATTCAGAGGGCCGTGAAAATTGCCAAGAGTGGTAGTGCGATGTATGAGACTTTGAAAGTGTGCATAGTAACGGGAATGCAACACGTTCAAAATTACGCACAAAAAAAACATATAAAATTCAAAGCTATACGGATAACATCATTGGCTCAGACAACAATCTGAAGTTCAACAGTTGTCATCCGGAATTCCGGAATGTCTTGTGAATAGTATCCGAGTGGCGGTATGAGTCATAGACTCATAGCGCTATTTGAGTATCTTTATAAACTAAAACTTTGTCAGAAAAAAAAAATGCCGAACAAACATAGTTCTTTTGTTTATTAAACTTTATTGCATTTAATGAAGGGACTCGACTCTCAAGAACTTGATATGTATGCAAATACATATGTATTTTTAAAATATGTAACATGTAGTGCTGTGTCGTATGTAGTGCTGTGGCAGCTGTGCAAATAATTCAGATTTGTCGATGTGAGTGAAGCAGAAAGCCTCTATTTAAACCTTCGAGAGTAATCCACCAATTTTGTGGGGCTTATGAGCAGTGAGTCATGTACACGATTGATTTTGCCTGCCGTTTACCTAGTTTGAAGTTAATTTCCAAATTTTTGAAGTCAATTTTTCGCCGGTTGCTATTTAAAAGCCTCCGGCAGCTGACCAGATCTACCAATACACAAACAATACAGACAATTAGTATTCACATAAGTAGATGTCACTTTCAAAATCTCTACGATCTCTTCCTGCTTCTACTAAGCAGGTCTACGACTATGTGGTTGTCGGTGGCGGAAGCGCCGGTTGTGTAATGGCCAATCGCCTCTCATCTAATCCCAAAGTACGAGTGGCTCTACTAGAGACAGGGTCAGACGATAACACACCGTTCATTCGCAACCCCAGTGCTTACTTCTGGACTGTTCCCCACGGTAGAAAGTATAATCACCGGTATTTTACTACACCTCAGAAGCATTGCAAAGGTAAAATCATGTTTCAGCCCGTGGTCGTGGTATTGGTGGTTCCTCTGCCATCAATGCTACGGTATACATTCGCGGACTGAAATACGATTTCACGAACTTGTGGGCTGGGGAAGGTAAATGCCAAGGCTGGGAGTGGGAGAATGTGCTTCCTCTCTTTAAGCAGTTAAAATACAATGATTTACGAATGACCCATACCACGGCACTGAGGGACCTCTCAAGGTACGAACGCAGATACATATCGACCGGTACACTGAGCGCATTGTCAAAGCAGGCAATGAATTAGGATGGAAAACCAGCAATGGTTGCCTTTCTGACCCCAGAGGTCCGAGCTCGTCCAAATCTGGATGTTATTGTCGACGCTCATACCACAAAGGTACTCACAGACGGCAAACGTGCGACTGGAGTACATGCAGTGGTATCCGGCAGCGCAGATGCTGCCAACTCGGTAACATTCGAAGCAACGAATGATGTTGTCCTGTGCGGTGGCGCGTTTAACAGTCCACAGTTACGTATGCTTTCAGGAATTGGCCCCAAGGAGCAGCTTAATAGGCACGGAATTGATGTAGTACATGAATTGCCTGGAGTGGGCCAGAATCTTCAGGATCATGCCGACATCGCCGTGAATGCAAAAACTTCGAGAATAGGCATGCCGCTGCAAATCGGGCTCACCAACTTACAAAGTCAGATTAAGCACCTTTTCCTAGCTATTTTTAAGAAAGAAGGGGCATTCGTGGGAGATAATGAATTTGTCGGCTCATTCTTCAAAAGCAAGCCTGGCATTCCCGCTAACGATATCCAAATGCATGTCGCACCCTTTTACTACAAAGATCATGGTGCCACTTTAAGATACGGTGGTGGTCTTACAGCCAAATCGTGCTATATGAGGCCCGAGTCTCGCGGCACGGTCGCTCTGAATTCGGTTAACCCAATGGAGGGGCCACTCATTGACCCCAATATTACGATGTGCCCGCCGACTTTGATCCCATGGTTGCTGCAGTACGAAAAAGCATCGAGTCGATTCAATCCAAGGCCCTAGCAGAAGATAACCTGGCGACCTGTGGATATGGCGACAAGGATGTTAACAACCTTACCGACAGCGACATCAAGGAGTTTCTGCGCGAGAATATCGAATCCATCTACCACCCAGTATCTACTTGGTAAAATGGGTCCATCATCAGACCCCATGGCAGTAGTGGATCACTCCAATGGCCTTAAAGTACACGGCATGGAAGGACTAATGGTTATCGATGCCTCCGTAATGCCCACAGTGGTATCTGGAAACACCAATGCACCTACCACGGTAATAGCTCAGAAAGCTTACAATCAAATGGTTGGTGCAGATAGAGTCGTCGATGTCCCTGATGAACCATTGTCAGCTAGCCAATAGTAAGTCGTGATGACATGTCTTCGGTCTTTTTCAATCCACGTACATTGCTTTAAACATTACATATAACATAGACACAATTAAAATAAACACAGTTGATCTACGAATGAATCTCCATTACAGATCTTTACAATTTAAGATATATGTATGAAGTTGTGTGCACAGAAGAGCCAACCTCATTTAATTTGATCGAGTGTCAATGTATACAAGCAAAAATACGTAAATATGAGCATGAAAAATGAAAATGTGTATGTTAAGTACACACACACTATATATATATAGGCGATATAATATTTGCACCAAGTGGACCACAGCGCCGCTATATAATTCATATATTTAACACGTTTCCAATTCATATTGTAGTTCTCATCCACAATAGTTAGCGTTGTCAGTTACGCTGCGTTGTTATCACTATGTATGATCGCCTTGCGAATTTAAAACTTTATCGTTCCAGGACATGCTAATCTACCACAGCCGTGCTTCAATACCGACAGATACTTGAATAATCAAACCAAAGCATTTGTGTTGACGGAGACATGTCTCCTCGGCCAGATTTGTCACAGTGACCGCAAGCAACCCCAAGAAACGTCGAAGATCACAACATTACTAGCCCAACTTCTTTGCTTTGGATCGTGGGACAAGCATAGTTGTACAGGTAGTACTGCAGAGTACCGTCTCCGATACCGAACTTCAGTTCCTTGAGCACCTTTCCGTTCTCCTGTTAGTAGATTAAGAATTAGAGTGTCACATACTGCATTCGTATTTGTCGAAAAGCGCGGAAAGGGTCTATTGTGAATACCTCATTATGTATGTGTCTTGTACATCACCCCTTGAATTCCAGAGTCATTTCTGTGCTGGTGAAGCGAAAGTTCTAGACGCGATGAGTGTAGATATCGTGTTAACAAATCGAAAACAGCAACTTGGGAATTCTGCATAATGCAAGGAGTATAAAAACATTTTGCGACTACCCAGAGGTTCAGAAGCATACACGCTCACCGGAACACAACGTCGGAGAGTGTTGATTACACAAATTGCCATAAGATAACTGAGTCTTCACACACAGATTTCGGTGCGTTCTGGGGCGATATTAACACTGACGAGCATCCACACACTACGAACGCGAATGCGCTTTGCGCGAGAATGATTCCGAATCCCACTACCATTCGATGAAAATCAATAAAGAATGAGACAACTGTAAACTTTTGAAGAGTACTGAACGTTTGACCCCGCGCACAGCTAGCGTCCTCACATTTGGGCCACTACAACAATCAATCTCACGAGAAACTCGGGCATCATTTTGTATTATCCCGGACTCGCTTTTAGATAGTAAGGCCGCATAACCTGTAAGCATCCGCAAGACACTGTAATCAATATTCAAGGCTTACACAAGTGGACAACCACTTAAACACAGGTTGAAAAAGGTCCTGTCATCAACAGGTGACATGAGCCAGCCATGTGACAAACATCCAGTTCCGTTGCAAGCACAAGTACGTCACGCTAATCATATCTAAACAGCAACGTTAGACACGACACACATATACATTGGCTTATACACATGGACAGAATGCTAGCTTACCTGGAGATCCAAAGCATTGAACACGTCGAACTTCTTGCCCTGCGCGAGTGTGAGAGCATCGTTCATCAGCTGCAACAGGGGTGTCTTGTTAGGCACATGGTAGAACGAGTAAGCAGCCTTGAGCGTCGAATGACGCGGGTGGCCTATCACCGTTGAGCTCAGAGTATAGAACGAGGTAAGATCCGTCAGTTCTTTTGTCTCGGGGTCTTCTACTACGTATGCGTCGACCTGCAGTTGGAAACACATGGAAATATTTGAGAGCCACCCAGTATCATTTGTCCACCATAAGATTATATAGAGGGACCGACGGCCTAATTAGCAGTACCAGAAAAACAGTAAGCGGAACAGCACGAGATGCCGTTGATAGATTCTCTGCGAAATTTCAATTCAGTCTCTTTCGACACATCAACTTCAGAGAATATTCACTAATTGTCAAAAGAGCAGTAAGAAGCATACCACTTCATCCTTGGGGATCAGCCAGTGTGCAATCTCATCTTCCGTGAAGATTGGGTGTAGCACGAACTTGTTAAGGTACGTGTTGAGCATTTCGGTTACCGCTGGTACATCCCTCGCCTCCATTGGGCGCAGGCCGGGGGTGACTGTTGCCTACAAGATTGTAGAGGCAAAACAATGTTTTAGTATTAATGCACATGTACCTACAACATGCACAGTTCACCTACGAGGACTGCAATTGACAGGAAACGAGAACAATATAAATTCAACTCCGGCTCCAACACGCTCATAACTTTGTGCTGTAAGGAAATGGGTACAGGAAGAGGTTGCAGTCGGCCAATCCAGACTGAATATTGATATATACAAACGTGTCACAAATTGATGGATTATACTCATACACACACCCACACACGAATATATATATATATCTAAAAAATAACAAATATATATATATCTAAAAAATAACATATATATATATATATGCATACATACATATGCAAATACTTACTTCTATACAAGAAAGTAGTATCATGTGTAAATCCAAAACAGGGTTGTTCATCCGACATACCGTGGGAAGTTTGTAGTGTTTGATCATGCGCTGCATTGTCATGCTTGCCGGCAAGTGAGAGAATCGCACATCAACCAATTTCTTCGGATTCAACGATCGATGCCAATACCTGGAGGAGGAGAAAAGTAACGATGACAATGGTTGCACGTATTGAGACACGCCCGCTTAAAAAATTTGGCTCTTAATCAAATGTTCGGAACGGATTGTAAGCGAAGGCTCCTTCGATATTTGTGAATCATCATCTATATATTCATCACAAAACCAGCGGATAATATAAACGATGCATCGCTTGACGGCTCACCAAACGATAGAATAGTATACACACGCGAATCTCCAGCCAACAGGAATACAGTCTACTACTATTAGATACATCACAGGAGTCACGCTCTTAGTACAACGACGTACAAGAGTATTGTATATAATTGCATACACACGCGAATCTCCAGCCAACAGAAATACAGTCTACTACGATTAGATACATCACAGGAGTCACGCTCTTAGTACAACGACGAACAAGAGTATCGTATATAATTGTATACACACGAGAATCTCCAGCCAACAGAAATACAATCTACTACGATTAGATACATCACAGGAGTCACGCTCTTAGTATAACGACGAACAAGAGTACGTATATAATTGTATACACACGCGAATCTTCAGCCAACAGAAATAAAGTCTACTACGATTAAATACATCACAGGAGTCACCTCTTATTACAACGGCGAACAAGATTACGTATATTGGGCGGCTCCCCCGATTTCGGAACAATAACATCCAGAACAATTACCTGCACGAGCCCACAGGAGTAGGGAGAAAGACACCGGCGGTGAACGCAGCCTGGAAGATGCCGGTCAGGTGAACTCGGCGAGTGATTTCTGATAGTACACGAGGGAAAGTAAAGTCAGACGTGCCAGCGACGCACCCACCAATGTTGCTTGGTTGGTGGAGTACAAAATCACATCCTCGAAACAAACGAGGCCGCAGAATATATGTGATTGCAAGCGTTAAATAGGAAAGCCTGTCACGCTTACCTTTGATTAGCACTGGTGCCAGTCGTTTTGCTCTGAGCTTCTTATGGACACACAGGAAATTAATTTCGACCATTTTGTTCTCTCTATTGAGGGTTTCGAATTATTCCGTGAGTGAGATGAATCATAAGGTGAAGAAATGGGTGTGCATTGTGAGTGAGATGAATCATAAGGTGAAGAAATACGTGTGCATTGGCAGGTTTTCAAATGCCAGTACACACCGTATCTGCGATATTGAGGGCCAGTGAACTCATCGACACTTATTGATACAACTACTTCTGCAAATAGGTACGAATACAATGATACCTCGTAGGCTCAGCACACCACCGAACAAAACGACATGAATACTGTCGTGCAGGACACTGTGTTCTCCGAATGAGAAGGCAATATGATGCTGAACGTAAAATAAACTTGACTGTACGTTGCAGACTCTCCCAAACAAATAGGACGCTAAAGGACGCCAGCGCATAGCAGACAACTCGATGTCTGATGTTATTTGGATACGTGAGGTATATCACATACTTGTCATGGACTTGGATATGGGCTGGTGTAGCGCTGATGAATCCTACAACCTTTTTGCTCTCCTGTGCCCGGACGCATAGATGCCAGCTCCTCAGCCACCCGGGAGGTTTGAGCGCCCTGTGGACATGGTTGCGTTTTGGTTGAGTTTCTCGAGGTTTCATGAAGGAAAATTGACCCGCTATATAGGCACATAGAACAGTTGCTAGAGACTTAATAGAGGACAGTCTTAGACTTCTCAGAAATGGTGGTACTTGCTCAACATGGATATTGTATTCGAGCTCGACCTATAGACTAAGTGTGCGAGTAAGTATGAATTCGGGCACTCAGAGATTTGTGAAGATTGTGTCGACTTACATGTTGAAGATTGGAAGGATAAACTTAGTAAATTGATGCGGGTGCAACAATGCGTGACATATCCTTTGTGAGTACGCCAGTCAAATAGAATGCCACACAGATGTAACTTCTTAGACTGTTGAACAATATGCTCAATACGTGCAGCTAAGACTGTGTACTAGACGTCCGGCGGTATGTCACATTACAAGCCACATACCAGCGCAAGAACTTCTTCGAGTACTCGAATCGGAACATTGCTTCGCCATCCTCGACGTAATTCTCATTCAATAGGTCATAAACGGCATCCAGCTATGAATAGGGAGTCATCAAACTTGCATGGATGAGTACGTTATTTTTGACCACAGTTAATACACGTTTAAAATCTACCCCAAATGTTGCCCACTTAAGCTATTTGATTACAGTGCACGAGAAACACGCGCGTTACACTATTCGCCGTCCCACAATCCATGCCACCTTCAATTACAGTATGTATTCTCAATAAGGGTAGGTGTCAGTCCAAAATTGCAATGGCCGATTTGGTAGACCTCTGTCATGCCATCATCGCATTATTACTCAAATCCTTGCTCAGGATACTACCATATTCTTGAGCCTATGGCCAAGAGAGTAGATCAAGCCATTTCCACTTGTTTAGTGTCCCATCCACATGTTGACCATGTACGTTCCACAAACAAGGGGCTCGTTCCGTTTGATTTGTACCACATAACGCCACTGCCCAAGCACTCAACGGGATAAAGTTAAACACATGATGAAGAACCAGAACGTAGCGCACACATATAATAAAACCCGACACACAGCACCATGGGCCTGTCGATATCACTGGCATAATACCTCCTCTACTGTTTTATCAGCCCGATTAACCCCCGTCTAATCGACCCCCTTTCCTTTCACTTGAAGTAGGACCACCTGACTCAGGCGGACATGTATACGACACAGGCGTGTATTTATGTGAATAAGCGAGCAGAGGGAAGCGCCACATACCTCTTCGGGTTGGTCGATGTCAGTAGCGTACCACTCGTACCCATCTGGCAAGTTAAGCGGTTCCTGTCTGATCTCCCCGTCTTCCTTATTGGGCTCAATGGGTCCTGTCTCGCGCTTCTCGGCGCTCTCCACAACCCGTTTACCAAGCTGAGGAACTGGTTGTGTTTTCCAGAACTTGAAGTCACGCACCTGGGCTTCCTCGGCGGTGCTGGGTGCGGTTGGGGGACGCGCCATGGTCATCGCCTCGTAGCTCTGTATTCGTACAAAAAAGAAGATGTGGATCAGATACACGATACCATCTCCCAATTAATGGGCGCTGATAAAGATCAATACACGGGTTCCTGTGATAAGCGCACAGAAATGCACTACAGCATAGCTTCCCTGGAAACGCATCCGAGGTAAGCTTTAGTGTGCAGGGTAGCCCTACATACATGTGCAGTAGCTTGCAAATAATTCATTGATTACTTACGGTTGAATTGGTATATATATATATATATATATATATAATAACGCACATCGGTTACTCTGATGCGAGATATATATACTGGACCCACACACGACTTAATATAAGTCGATTCCAGACTGCAAAACTAACGCGTTTGTCATAGGCAACTGTTAAAACAATGTAACGTAATCTTGACAAAACGATATCTTCAAGAACTGATTGTTTTGTCGGCTATATACCAGGTCCTTTTGATAAAAGGCTGGTGTCCGAATTCATATGAGCACAGACTTAAACATACGACAATCATGTATCGAACGCACTAGAGATTACCTTTTGTATCTGCTGAATCCTGAGAATAGTGTCCATGTCTACACCTGGGGGTAGAACACCTGGTGGCAAAGTTACTCCGCCCGACGGCTCGCCATTTGCAGAGGCATCTGACTGGTCACTACGCGATGATACAGGATGTCACTATCGGCAGGTGAAGAGATGCCCAAGTGTGGTTCTCTAGTGATAATAAATTACATTTGCTGTATTGCTGATTGGAGATTCAGCTTAAGTAAACACTATTATATTGAAGGTTCTCTTTGGAAGATCGCGTACACAAGCAATGAAGTATTTGTGCGCTTGGAGCATATCTTCCACAAATTGCAATAGCCGCCCCAGACGACCGCCTTGTCATATGTGTATTACGGTCTTAGAATCGGGAAAGGGACGGCCAATGAAAATGACCTCCGGATAATGAATATAGTACACGAAACAAAACAGAGGTACAGATAACAAGCTAACTTGAATATGTACTTCTACGGTGTAGTAGTTATTGTAACGTATTCGTAAAACAGAACCAACGATGAATAAATCAATTCAAACACGCGCAACTAACTAACTAGGTACACATACACACTTATCTAATTTATATATATATACACACTCACAAATATATATATATATATATACGCACTCACACACAATATGCGTGCATATATACACATGTATAAATTATAGATAAACATAAATATATATATACATACAAAGATACATAAATACAAGTACACCCATACGCATATATATATATGAACACACACACACACACACACACATATATATATATAAATATCCATATATACACACACACACACGCACACAAATATCTATATGCAGTGCATATATATATATATACATATACATATATATAAACATATTATATATGTATATATATATATACAAACACACACACACACTTATATATATATAAATATAGATACATAGATACATATATACATATAACACTTATATATATATATATGCATATATCTGCAAATGTATATATATAAATATAGATACACACACATATATATGTATATAATAATAATAATAATATAATAACAATATATAATAATAATAATAATATAACAATATAATAATATATAATAATAATAATAATAATAATAAGAATAGTAATAATAATGATTATATACATATACATAGACATATATATATATATATATATATATTTACACACACACACATATATATACATACATATATATGTATATACATATATATATATATATTGGTATATATATATATATATATATCGTATAACTGTATAATGTATGCTATACGAAGTTATTACGCTTCTACTAAGGCAGGTCTACA